AACGACTAGCTTATCACTAGCAGATTGATGGACATTTACAGAAATTCGCCGACAATCAAATTCTGTGCTGTCTTATTCCCTGCTCACAGATGTCCTTTCGTTATAAAGATTCAAATAAGACTAGAATGCGCTAAGGCTTACTTTCCGGCAAATAAAATGAACTGAATGCAAAAAGGGAAAGAGAAATAGCGAAAAATCCAACTTCTAAGTAAATCTTTTCTTATGGTTTAGAATAAACTATTCTCGAAACTGAGAATGTTTTGATCAAAGCTGTGTAAATCGACCTGAAACTGTGCATGGAACCTTGCGTTTCCTGTATTTATCTCACCCATTGTATGGAATATGTGTGAAAATTTTCATTATGAATGGGTATATTTCGAAGAGCTACACAACCTACTATTACTAACCTACTATTGACCGACAATATACAAAACGGGGGCAGCTGTAGTGTCTACTATTACTAGTTGTACAATGTTAAGGAAAGTACTTACAGTTGAAATATACAGTCATACAGTCAATATAGAAAAAGTCTCGATTGCTTGAACAGGGACCGCGAGGAATCGGTAGGTAACGATGACGTTTCAGCTGTTTGCGCCCGCAAGTACGAAATGGTTAGGATGACGTAAAGACAACATCCCTAAGGGACCGCTTAGGTAGATTTTGTGACATTTATTGTGCAGTCATACTTCGACACTCTTTTGCGTTACGTGTTATCAGTGACATTCTTTGGAGCAATTGTTTCAGTGAAAGTTATGGACCAAAATTTTAACGACACTCGTTAAGCGCAGAAGAGGTTATAAGGTGCGTATAACTGTGTATATATAAACACTTGGAGAGTTTGCCAGACACGAGTTCACAAATCTTTCACTGGAAATCTTGCCAGACACTCTTTCTCTCTGTTTGATCGGAATAAGACTGAGCCCCAAACAAGTAAGACGAGTGAACAACGGCTAGCTTCTCACTAGCAGAACGATGGACGATTACAGAAATTCGCCGACGATCAAATTCTGTGCTGACTTATTCCCTGCTCACAGATGTCCTTCCGCTAAAAAGTTTAAAACAAGACTAGAATGCGCGAGTGTGAATTGATCAAATGTTCTTTTAATTTCTATGGCTTCCTTTCCGGCAAATAAAATGAACTGAGTGTAAAAAGTGAAAGAGAAAAATTCAACTTCTAATTAAATCAGTCTTTTCTTATGGTTTAGAATAAACTATTCTCGAAACTGAGAATGTTTTGATCAAAGCTGTGTAAATTGACCTGAAACTGTGCATGGAACCTTGCGTTTCCCATATTTATCTCACCTATTGTATGGAATATGTGTGAAAATCTTCCTTAAGAATCGGTATATTTCAAAGAGCTACACAACGAGCAAGAATGCTATTGACCGACAATATACAGTGCGGGGGCAGCTGTAGTGTCAACTATTACTAGTATACTTCTAGTGTGTGAGGTTTTGAATGGCCTTGCGCCATCTAACTTATCATCTGAATTGAGACTCGTCTGGAAACTGCATATTCTAAAGCATTTGGATACTAGTGCGCTATTAGTTATGTCACTTTGAAAAACAACTTAATATCAGTGCTAATTAAAAACAGAAATTGTTTATGTGAGGTATTGGATACCGTCCAATGGCAATATAATACGTCTGAGCTTCTAATCATGTGCGCTGGTTTCGTTATCGACTGCATCCCTGTTTGTTCGCCTTTTTTTTTACCCCCCCCTCCCCCCCCCCCCACCCCGTGCGGGCAGCATCAGGGGGGAACGACCACGGTCTTTCCTCCCCCTCCCCCTCCTCCACGGCTTTGCTTGTTCCGGCAAACAATAAAGATGATTTTGATAGTATATATACGTGTGGTTGTCTTTTTCTTTGCGCCAAGGATTATGACTCGTAGTGATCGGATGTTGATGCTCCCAGTATTGACTTAGGTTTTGTCGATAATCTTTCCATAATCATCCATTTTTTCACCGCGTGAGTTGGGTATTTTTTAGCTTATTTCGAGGAAATACTTTTTGCTTCAAATCCAGGGTGGGCTTTTAAACACATTTTTTAAGCCAAATGGTTTTTGCGTGAATCTGCTTACCCGAATTTTTCGTATAAAAAACAACAAATACCCGAAAAAAGCTCGTTTTGTTGGTGGTGGTGGCATATTTCCGATAAATTCAGTTCAATGTCTCGTGAAGAAGAGTTCAGATCCGTGCCGTGCGCCTCTTTCGAGGCAAGCGTTCCGTCGAAATGCGAGCCCAAAAACAGGTGGTAAGCGGTCAATCTGTGAAAAGTAACGCAATCTCCGTCGTTTGAGAGCAGCCGAAGATGCTCTTGCCGATGCTGTCCTTGATGTTTTTTATTTCCAGTATCTAGGAAACCCATGCTAAGGTATGAAACATACACTCGTAGGCATTGTTCTGTCCGCTAAAGTCTAATTCCTGGACGCAAAAACGTTGTGCTTTTTGAAGTTTATTATTGTGCTTTGCCCTTTGACAACCTTACGTGACTCGTGCGTTTGGTAGCAGAAGATGGCTAAACTCTGCTTTCCTTGTTGGAAAACGGCTTTAAATTTTATCATATCGCTCGATAAGCACGTGTTGGTTTCTGATAGCTGATAACGTTAAACCACTGTTGCTCAAACTGATTTCTTATTGCATTTTTCTGAGTTTAGCATCGGCCCGCTGAGTCTGGAAAGCTCAAATTTCGGAGGAGTACTACTTGTATCTTTTGGCCTCAAAAATTTTCTTTTAAGTTGCCCATAGTTTTTAAAACAGATTTTGAAAGAAGAGATAACGCTCTTTAAGGTGGTATAAGACTCATTACTGAAATCGAGG